AAGGGTCACTTTACCCGAAATGTTAACTCTAATTTCTCTCCTCAGAACTAAGAAACACGCTGCGTTTTTCCAGCAATTTCTATTTTTGTCTCTGATTTACTTTATCTACAGTTCTTTTGGTTTTTATAACTTTCTCCCTTCTGGAGGCATAGTTGCTGATTGGATGGCACAGTCCAAAGCTGGATTTATATGGCGCCTGACAGGAGGGGACAGTCTGTTTGAAGACTTTGGATGGGTAGTTGGCTTGGGTTTTCACACCATCCTTCTGCTTGACCTTTTGAAACAATTGACCCCTTTGCCGGTTGCATCTGCTCCGGTTGGGATGCTTTTGGGCTCAGGTTTGCCAGGAGTCAGTGGAAATTTATCCTGTACCTAATGCAGCATGATGCCCCTCAAAATAGAGGACTATTTCCCCGTCTCTCTAACAGATGCATACAGCGTCTTCACGGGCAATAGCTAAGTATCTGGCATCTGAAGGTGTGACTGGGGAAGAGAAAGGAGTAGTTTTATTTCTGCCTTACTTTTGCATAATTAAAGAGAAAATTCTCTTCCGTAGTCCCCTTTTATTTAAAAAAAGGGGATATGGATCTCACTGGCTGAGTTATCCCTGATCACCCCTGACAGTAATGAGATGGCTGTGAGGGTTGGCTTATTGACGCCTTGTAATCAGTAGGGACACCCACAGGAAGAGTATTCAGAAGGAAGTTCCAGGATTTTGAGCCAGTGACACTGAAGGGACAGCGATATATTTCCAAGTAAGGACGCTGAGTGGCTTGGAGGGGAACTTCACCTGACTGAGGAGGTGTGCTCTGAAAGCTTGTGATTTTAAACAAACCTGTTGGGCTATAAACTGATGTTGCGTGACTCTGCCCACCCCAGTCTAACACTGGCACCGCCGCACCATCTGCTTTCTCCCCACAGATGCTGACAGACCCGCTGAGCTTCTCCAGCAATTTCTGTTTGTCCTGGGTTCGACCTCCCCTTTGCACTCCCTCCTCCCTCATCCCCCCAAAACCACAAAACGTGGACATGCAATCTGATCACATGACGAGTCTGATGTCCACTGAATGGTTAAAACCCCACATTATTTGCGTCTCGCAGATAAGCTCCAGGGGAAGGAGCATTCCAAGTTTGCAAGGTCATTATTATGAGGGAGCCGTGGATGGGTGCTGCCTTCGTTCTGATAGCCAGCTACGAGCGCCCCCTCGTGACGTGCCCAGTATTGCCGCATTGTTGCTGTTTTCCTGAAGCGGCGTCAATTTCAGGTCCTGAGACGCCCATTTCTTTAGCTGAAGGATAAAAGGGAAGCTGGAGGAAGTGAATTCAAAGACCGAAAACGATTCGTGACAAGATTGTACTTAAAAAATGGAGGGGGATTCCGGAAAGTAACCTCCGCAAAGTATTTTTTTAAATTCAAAAATCCTAACATTATGTCTGCTTTCTGATACTCCCAAAATTACACCTTATTGCCAATCCTTTAATCTAAATTGTTCACTGCAAAAATTTGTGGTAAATTTTAATTTATTTTGGCATTTTTTTTACATCCATCGGATGAGTTAAAGCGATGGTTCATTTGTTACTATTTTTTAAAACCAAATTCAAAAGGACATTAGATAAATGATTTAGTATATTTTTCAAAGAAATCAGATGAAGGGTCAGACATTGGGAGTCTCATTCAATCAGCCTAAACTTTTTTTTAAAAACAAATGCTCTGAGCCCGAGCTTTTTGTTTTATTTAGTAATCTCTGCTGTTTTTAATTGGCAATGAGATATGAAAGCGAAGAACAGACTGTAAAAAGAAAGTTAGGACTTGCCCTGGTTTTGTGTAAAATCCATGATCTCTCTCTCACTGTAAAACAGGCCAGTTTCAAACCTCCCTGTCCACCCCCCCATATCCCAGCCCGAAAACCGGTATCTTTACTCTAACCCTGCGTGGCGCCAGCTCGCTCGCTCTTATCACATTGTAAAACAATAAAAATGGACCAGACCAACACATCAAGGTCTCGTGGTGAAATTGGCAAGGCAATGCAGATATGCCTGTTAATAGGGGTCTCAGGCCTGTTATCTCCCAACTCCTGTCTGAAGCTTTTACTGCGATTAAACAGTGCATTTGAAAAGGGAACTTCTGTTGTTGGAGTAGAGCTCTGAGTCCACACTCTGTGCGTTGTGAAGTGTATTTTTTGGATGTTAGTTTTTTTCTGTTTTGACATTTTAACTGGACTCCTGTCGGAGGGTTAATCTGTTCAGTTCTGGCGTATCTTTCTTTTTGCCAAAATGCCCAGTTTTTGTTTAGCTCAGTAGGTAATTACCTCTGGCCTGGTTTCAGAAGGCGATTTGTAACTTTATCACTGCGTCCAGACTGAGGATAAATCCACTCTGTCGCTGCACAAGGAGTGAACCAAGTTGCTTTTAAAATATTCAACAAAAAAAATACGAGGAACTGCGGGTGCTGAGAGATCTCAGCAGGTCTGGCAGCATCTGTGAAGCGAGAAACTGGGTTAATACAGGAGCAAATTACTGCAGATGCTGGAATCTGTACTGAAAACAATAAAAACGCTGGAGGTCACAGCGGCTCACGCAGCATCTATGGAGAGAGGGAGAGCAAGCTAACGTTTCGAGTCTAGATGACTCTGCGCTTCAGTATTTGTTGTTTTCGAAACAGAGTTAATGTTTCGGGAAGGGTCCCTGGACCCGAAACGTGAACTTTTGTTTTCTCTCTTTTTGCGTAGATGCTGCCAGACCTGCTGAGTTTCTCCAGCAGTTTCTGTTTCTGTTGCGTTTAAAAGATCTTCTGTTGTTGTTCAGTCATTCTTCGCCTTTCCAGTGACAAACTGGGCGAGTCCAGTGGATGTATCTGAGTGTGGTGCCTGGTGGTGTGCTGTTTGCTGCACACTTTTTTAATAAATTAAAACACTTTTTTAATCATCATAATTTGTTTATTGTACCAAACTCATTCGGGATTACCCGCTCGGCTCTGCATTTGCTGTTCAGATCGGGAATATTAACATTGTGTTCAGTGAGAGAGGGCATGGTACACATTGGAAAACCCACCCTTTAATCCGAAAAATTGCTTTGTATTCCGTTCATAGGGAGGGCGTGTGCATCATTGTCTAGTCCAGCATTTATTCTCCATCCCTAATTACCCGAGAGGGCTTTTAAGAATCAACCACATTGGTGTGGGTCTGGAGTCACATGTAGGCCAGACTGGGTAAGGATGGCAGTTTTCGTTCCCTAAAGGACATTAGTGAACAAGATAATGGAAAATGCTTACACATAGTCACCATGAGACAATGTTTTTAATTCCAGATTTTTATTGAATTCAAATATCACCATTTGCCCTGGTGGGTTTCGAACCCTGGCTCCCAGAACATTAATCTGAGTCTCTGAGTTTCTAGTCTAGTGACATTCCCACACTTTAAATAAAATTATTGAACTGGAAAGTTTACCCTGGTGAGTTTCATGAGTTGCTAACTATACATAAACAGTCAGCTTCCCTTGTTTTTATCTTGTCATCTATATTCGCGCTCCTTAGAAGTGGAGCCCCAGTTTTAGTTAATTTTGTTTTGAGAGATGGAGGGGAACATTAGCCAAAAGGCGACAGGACACGAGTTGAGTCTAATTTGGCGTCCTTCACTCATTTTTTAAAAAATCGTCAGGGCAGGATTTTGTTGTCCGGAACTACGCTGAGGCAAATTTTCTCAAAATACTTCATTTGGAATTTCTCCCAGTCACACTGATCCCAAATCGCAACATTACTCGGAATGACATTGGTCAGGGTCTTTTTGAAATCTCTGTGATATTGTGGAAGGCGGTGTGTGTGTGTCTCTGCGTGTGCATAGGTGAGAGTGTGTGTGTGTGTGTGTGAGTGTCAGATTCTGTGATTGCGATTGTGTCAATGCATGTGTTTGTACGTGAGCGTTTGTGTGTGAGGGTGTCAGTGTGTGAGGGTATGAGTATGTGTGTGTGTGAGCGGGGGTGTGTGTGTGTGAGGGAGAGCGGGTGTGTGTTTGTGTGTCAGTGTGTGTGAATATGTGTGTGTGAGAGACAGCGGGTGTGAGTGTGTGTGTCAGTGTGTGAGTATGTGTGTGAGAGAGAGAGCGGGTGTGTGTTTGTGTGTGTGTGTGTCAGTGTGTGTGAGAGTATGTGTGTGAGAGAGAGCGGGTGTGAGTGTGTGTGAGTATGTGTGTGAGAGAGAGAGAGCGGGTGTGTGTGTCAGTGTATGAGAGAGAGCGGGTGTGTGTGTGTGTGTGTGTTAGTGTGTGTGAGAGTATGTGTGTGAGAGACAGCGGGTGTGAGTGTGTGTGTCAGTGTGTATGAGAGTATGTGTGTGAGAGACAGCGGGTGTGAGTGTGTGTGTCAGTGTGTGTGTATGTGTGTGTGTGTGAGAGAGAGCGGGTGTGAGTGTGTGTGTCAGTGTGTGAGAGTATGTGTGTGAGAGAGAGCGGGTGTGTGTGTTTGTCAGTGTGTGTGTGAGTATGTGTGTGAGAGAGAAAGCGGGTGTGTGTGTGTGTCAGTGTGTGTGTGAGTATGTGTGTGTGAGAGAGAGCGGGTGTGAGTGTGTGTGTCAGTGTGTGTGTGAGTATGTGTGTGTCAGTGTGTGTATGTGTGTGAGAGAGCGGGTGTGTGTTTGTATGTGCAGTTACTTTAAATTAATTGAGAAATGGGAGGTGATGCTTCCTGTATGTATTAATAATGTAGAGTTTACAATCTATTCTATCAGAGAGTCTGAGTCCACATCAATCAGAATCAGAATAAATTGTACCTTGACAGCTCGCGTGGATGGGGGTGGGGGGGAGCACCGTGTGCGTTAAAATGTTGAACCATTCAGTGCTCCTTTTTCTTTCCGGTTTCAACTCATAACAGCAGCGTGGCAGCTGGGGAGGACGCGATTGGAACAGATCCCTCACTGACTGGAGGGAGGAAGGGCTTAGGGGGAGAGAGAGAGGGAGGGCAAGGAGAGAGAGGGAGGGGAAGGAGAGAGAGGGAGGGGACGGGTTTTGGAGAGAGAGAGAGCTGAGTGAAGTCCGATCTGTGTCGCTTGGCAGTTCCTAAGCCATCAGCGAGTGTCGAACATCCCAGTTTTACACCCCAGGATTGTAGGGAGTTGTGTGTGTGTGTGTGTGGGGCTCTGGGACACAGACACAGAGAGAGAGAGACACACACACACACTCCAGAGTTTAAACCCGGAACGATGAGAAAACACAACTTGGGATTTCAAAGTGACCGGGAGAAATTGAAAACCTAATGACTTTTTGCCGCTGTATCAGCTTCACCTCTGGAAGACGTTCAAAGGGATTTTTTTCCTGCAAACATTTTCTATTTTAAGTTTATTTTTTGTGTGTGAGGCAACGGAGAGAGAAGACTGAGTGTGCTTTATTTTAAAGAAATCTCCCGTGCTCTCTGCTCCTGCACTTTCGAATCCGTCTTGATTTCTGCATTGGCCTGACAGAGAGACAGAGAGAGGGGAAGGGGAAAAGGAGCTGCCTGCAGCCGCCTTCAGCATGCTCTCCCCTCGGCCACACGGACTGCGGGCCCTCGCTGTGCTGCTCCTGTGGATGATCAACCCGAGTCAAGCAGGTAAGGTTCCTCCTGAGGGCCATGGAGCAAACGACATCCCTCACTTAGATCCTCAGCAGCTCAGTGTTACAGTTTAACCAGTGTCTTACCTAAAGTCATAGTTGGGGCTTTTCTGGGAAGAATGGCTTTATGTGTTTTCCCCCAATCCAATGCTACTTTGACTTCTATTTTTGACTGTTTTTAACAAGGTTTATCCCCTGCCCCCGTCACTCTCCCCAGAAACTCACGGCTCAATGACAAGAAAGTTTATTTTCCTCATGTTTCCGAGTTCGTTTTCCTCGCCCCTTCGGATTTCAGATGCAATTTAACCGCCCCCTCAAACTTCCCCACTTTTAAATTACCACTCCTCCCTAAACACCGGGGAGGAGCGGCAGAGAACGTCTGGTGCCCGGGGTTTGAGAGTAAGGAGCCCCTGCCCGGCCCTGCCTCATTCACCGCGGAGACATGGTTGGGGAGACAGGGAGAGAGAAAGAGGCAGAAAAATAGACAGGGAGATGAAATGGACAGAGGGAGAGAGAGGGGGAGAGGGAGAGAAAGGAAGAAACAGATTGTGGAGAAAGAAACAAACATGAGAGAGAAAGAGTGAGAGTGATAGGGAGAGTGAGAAAGAGAGACAGAAAGAAACAGTGGAGGGAGAAGGGGCTGGTCGGGGCGCGGTGGAAGAGACAGGCAGGAAGAAAGAGAAAGAAAGATGAGCAGAGAGGCAAGGAGGAGAGTGAGAAAGAGAGAGGGGCAGGAGAGAGACATTGGGGAGAAAGTGAGATGAGGAATAGAGTGAGGGTGGGAAGTGATAAAGAGGGGAAAGAGAGACAGAGGGAGGACTGAGAGAGGAGAATTGGGGGAGAGGCAGAGAGTGTGAGAGAGAGGAGAGGAAAGGCAGAGACAGACAGGATACTGAGTCTCTGCAGTTACATTGCTACCTCCAAGAAGGAGAGAGTGAGGACTCCCATCCATCTGGGGCATTTCCAAAGCCTACCAAGAACATACCCCTTCCATCCTCTTCCCCCCCTCCTCCCCCCACCAACTAGCCCACCAACCAACCAACTAAACAACCAACCAATCCTGCTGTTTAGAAGCACTTCTCTCCAACACTCAGCCACCACAACACCCCTACCCTGGTGACCTCTTAGCCCCTCTCCAACTCCCCTGCCCCACTAACTTTTCCCTCTCTCCAATGTTTCCCTCTCTCCAACTCTTTCCCTGACACTGCACCCTCCAGCTCTTTCCTGCACTCTCCCCAACACTCCTGTCCCCCTTCAGCTCTTCCCTCATCAACTTATCCCATCCAACTTTCCCCAACTCCTCTGTCACTTCCCCCTAACCCGCCCTGCTTCAATTCTCACCACCACCACGTTCCCCAACAGGGGCACAGGGGGATGGAACGCATCTGTTAGAATATTGCTCAGATTGAATTCAGTCATTCACAAGTTCCCTTAACAATTTGGTGCAGAGTTTTTGCTGCTACATCTTGTGAAATTTCAGTATTTTATAAATATTGAGTGGGCCTGTCTGTGAGACCCTTCTTGTTTATTAGCATTCTGTGACTGATCTGCACTGTGAAGTTTGTCAAACTTATTTCTCTCTACACTCAGTTCCCATCAACAAGAAATCTGTCTCCTTTATGTCAACTTTCAAACTTAGAATTGTTACTTTCCTGACAGTGTGTAAAATGGGACCTCTCTGAAGGTTCGCTGAATTAAACCCATCTGCTCCCGAATTTACTTTGTTTTAACCCTGGTTGGAAATGACTCACAATCTGCCCAACTTCATTCTAATATCATTTAGGATAAACTGCTGACAAATCAATAGCAGCTCCCAAGTTTAAATGAAACCTTTGCTTCAGTGAATGCAAACAATCAATATTATGAATAATAAGGTCTAAAAAAATCCTCTGTAAATCTTTTAAAAGTATACACATGGTACAAATGCACAGTCAGCCTGACTATTGAATAAGTAAAATAAAATTGTTAATAAGGGCTGTTGTCTTGAGTTCTGTTCCTGTATCTGAAACAGAAAGAATTAGGGTATCATTAGCAGTAAGTTGAAGAGTCACAGACTTTGTCCTATCAGTGGGGTTAATAGACCTAATTGGCATCTTACACTGAAACATATAATCTGATCTGAATGTAAAGAATTTGATCGAATCAGCTCTGGACATTAAGGCACAGCAAAATATAATTTAAAAAACAATGGAAGGTTGTTGAAATTGGAAATTGTCAGTAATTCTCACTTTGTCTCTATGCACCCTGCCCTCCTGCCTTGCCCAGATGCTTGCTCGCTCTCTCACTCACTCACACTCACTCACACACACTCACATTCACACACACACACACACACGGCACACCCCAGATTCCTTCATGCCCTTACAGATGCTCCAATGTTCCTTCTTAGATGCCCTTATCTGTCCTCTTACCTTGCATTTTTTAGGTTAATTATAAACTGTGGATCTTTTCCTCTGGTGTTTGCTTGTTGGAATTGCTGACGGAGTTGATAAGCTTCCATTTTCTTGATTAAAATACACTTGGCCTAATGGTTTGCAGAGTGTTGGTGACACATAACCCTGACTTGGAACTGTATGAGTTTTCCTTCAGTGTCGTCGGGTCAAAATCCTGGCATTGTCTCCCTAATGACCGTGGAGTCTACCTGCAGCACATGGACTGAAGTGGAAGGCAGCTTACAACCACCTTCTCAGGGCAGCAAGGGGTTGGCAATAAATGCTGGCCTGGCTAGAAACATCTACATTTCACGCTCATTATTAATCCCAAAAATGTCACATTATTTGATATTTATGTCCGTTCTCTGGTCGAGAGTAGCTCTCCCTTGATTGTTACACTTTACCCGTTCATTAAAATCCAGGTGAGATCGAGAGACAGGAATGGATCAGAATCTGTTAACTTCATCTATGTTTAATTATTTTTCTTAATGCATATGAAAAATTCTAATCAAAGGATTCTGGATTTTTTCAGTCAGAGGATTTCTTTTGGTATTGGTATGCATCACTTCAGTATATTGCTCAGTGTGTGTTTCATTAACTCAATTTTTTTATATCTGAAACTGCATTTGCAACTCTTATCAATGTGCTCCAACATCACCAAGTGAGTTCAAGATGACAGTAAGATGTAGGAGCGGAAGTGGACTGTTCAGACCATCAAGTATGCTCTGTCAGTCAATAAGATTGTGACTGATCCAAAGATGTGCAGTATAGTTGGGTTAGCCATGGTAAATTGCCCATAGTGTCCAGGGATGTGCAGGCTTGGTGGGTTAGCCATGGGAATTGTAGGGTTATAGGAATAGGGTAGGGCACTGGATTTGGGTGGAATGCACTTCAGAGGGGAAGTGTGGACTCGATGGGCCAAATGGCCTGCTTCCACATGAGGGATTCTATGTTCCGATAATAAACTCCAATTTCATCTCCTTATTTTTCTGACAGTTGCTTTTCATTCTTTCTCTCCTCTTCCTTCCCAATTCCTTCTCATTTCTCTCTTTCTCTCTCTCTCTCTGTCCTTCTTTCCCTTCCACCCTTCTAATCCTCCCTGCATCCTGAAGCTATACCCTGGAGACAACATCAGCCTAGAGCTGGTATGACCCTGCTGATTCAGAATGCCCACTGTACTTCCAACCGCCCCCATTGTATGCTGCTGGGTAGACTCACTCACTCATTCACTACCAGAAGTTTCAAACCTCTCACCAGGCTGGGATAAAATCTTTAGTTTCCTTCCCTGGATATGTGGGAATTGGCAATTTCTGCTACAGTCTAGGATTCCTCTCCCGACCCTGTACCTCTCCTGTGGGATTGTCCTTGCCTTGAAAGAATGATGAACCATCTCAGGGTGTTTGCATTTCGTGTTCAGTGAGAGTTTCCTGAAATATTTCAAACTTTATTTAAGGAGAAGGCATCACAAAAGGGGTTGGGGTTGGGTAGTGACATATGGAGCACAATAAAGAGGATTCAAGAAGGCTCATGTGGATCATCAGCACGACCATGAACTGTTTGGGCTCAATGGCCTGTTCTATGTTGTAACATCCTAATCTCATTTTGTCACGAAACTCAAACTCTAATAGGCATGAGTGGTGACTCGTGGAATTTAATCTAAATTTTGTTTGGGTGATGGTCCTTTGATATAGCTCCTGGTTAAGATCTGCGTGTGTGTGTGTATACCAGCATTTTATATGACAGTCCGTTTATTGTTCCTTACTTTGTGGCAGACGCATCAGTAATCTACATGCTGTGTAGGTGCAATTGCTTTTAAGTGTTCCTCATTCAGTCACGAGTCTGTGGGTAGGTATTCACAGCAGACTAGCACAATGGTATAATGGGAGGGTTTCACAAACTGCCCTTAATTTTTTATGAAATATATATTCAGCAACTAATGGCACATTGCAGTCAGAGCTGGACTGCGTAATGATGCACGACTGCACCAGCAAAGTAAACAAGAGGAGCCAATGTGCGATTAGTTGGTTGTAAAACATCTTTGGCAGAGATTGCCAGGGCAATAACCATGCGAGCAGACTGCTGACTGGAGCCTCGAGACACTCTGCCAACCAGGGGTCAGAATAGTTTTGGGATGGATGTCTACGCAGAGCTGGATGGGCATTTTCCTGTGTTGGCGAAATGGGCAACCAACTAATATCATTTTACTTAAAGCTGCTAACAGAGGAAGGCATGAGTTTACTTGGTGACTGATGCTTTCATAATGGTTGGCTGGGGGATGGGGAAGCAGTCAATGGGCTATCGAGCTTTCACCACTAGGTGGCATTTTGAGGCTTTCTCAATGTCATTGGCTGACAGCATGTCCTCGAGACATCTTGAGGTGGGAGAGCAATCTCAAAAATTTCACCCACCAATGTAGGCAGAAAACCACAACAGAAATGTTAACTTCCCATAACAGTCAGATCGAATGTGAAAATCTGAATCCTGACTCTTGCCTGGTTTTAATGAATAAAGAGGGATAAAGAGGAGGGTAGCTTGTCATTACTTAAAAGGCTGGTTGACAGTTGGG